GAAAATATTGGCTTCTTCTTTTTTCTCTTCTCCGCAATAGGTCTGCCATCGTCGTCAACAATAAAGTCATCCGCGTCAGTGTATTCTCCTTCGTCACTGCCTTCTTCAAATGTTTCTGCCTCCTGCGGTCTGTGACTTCGTTCGCTTCGTCTTTCATCCTCCTAAAGATAATATAAAAAGATATTACACCTTTGCACACATAAATAAATGCAGACATTGTGCAAACATTACATACCGTGATAATGTCCCTTTCCTAACACAAGTATGCATGTGTTTAATAAATGCAAACGTGATATGTAAACATTTATGTGAACATGCATGTTTGTAATTATAAATGTATTTACGTTCATAAGAGTGTAGAAAATAGTAGTATTTTGTAGAAAATTAAATAGCTGCTTTAATGAAATATCAAACACTATTTCAAAGGACTATCAAACCGATACACATAAGAAAAGCCACAAGCAAGTGCAGATTGCATAATTGAATACTGCAATCAATGTATCATATCAATTTTTATATATTTTAACTCTTTGTTTAATTCGACATCACATCTTATTGCTGGATCCTATGTTAAGTCTAGTTCGATATAGGAATATATGACTACTTATAAACATTCTAACAATCTTGAAAAAATTTCTCGTAGTATTATTATTACTGTATTTATTTTTGTGGAGACTGTTTTCCTTCTTTTATGCATGTTATGTAATCTGAGAGATTATTGAAATATAGCAAAACACACAAGCTGTACAGTATGAGTGGAAATAGCTGAGTCAAACAAAGATTAAAAAGTCCCATTTTTTTTTAATTACATTAGAGTCACTTATGGAAATCATATGTTAACATGTTAAAATATTGGATTAATGACCAAAGGTTCAAAATTAAGATAAAGACAAACTTGAATTTTATAAGAAGTGCCTATTGTATGAAGTTATTTCAGTCTAAATAGAAAGCATATTTATATTTTATGAAGATTGTTTCAATAACTTTTGTGATGTGCACATTTATTTATATTTACAAATAATTCGAAATTTAAAAAGTAATTTGAATTATTTAAATAATTTGGATTTTTTAGATCGTTTTTCGTCCTCGCAATTATATGATCCACTGAAGAGGATCCCGAGTGTGAAATCGAAATGTATGAATATCAACAGCAATTTAGCTCGTTTTATTGGCTTTTCTTTAATTCAAGTATTTGGAAATAGCTAAATTGCACGTGAATCTGCTCAAACAAAATCTCAAAAATGGTCTAGACCATAAAGAATTAAGCACTATGATAGATAAACCTCTGATGCATGTATAATACTTACATCTCCAGAACCTTCAAATAATTCATTGGCAATGGCATCCCTTTCATCATCCGCTTCCTTTTCTTGCTCTTCCTCTGATTCTTCATCCTGAATTCTTCGAAGACGTTTAAAACGTTTCTATAACAAGACATCAGATTCTCAATATAAATGTTTTTCTCTTTTCTTCTTAAGAATAATGTAGTCCATAAAACATACCCTCTCAAGTCTAACACCTAAATTTTCTTCAATCAAATCATAATCTTCGTCTTCCAAGCGATCATCAAAATCCTCATCATCACTTTGTTTACGCTTCTTATGATGGTTCGAGCCATCACTGTCTTCACCCTCGCTTTCCTCTATGGGATTGTCATCTATCAAATCTTTCAATTCTTCGCGTAATTGATCCTCATCGTCTACAAGATATATCAATATCTTTCAATAGTGCATATTAATTTAGAGCTATGCATTATAATATAGAAAATGTATAAATATAAATTTTTATAGATACATGTATGTACATGTGTGTGTTGTAAGCAACTAATGAAACAAGTGGACATATGAATAAGAAATATAGCTAAAGTGCACTAAAGCACTTGATATGTTATCACAGATAAAGGATAAATATTAAAGAAGTAATGAATAGGCACACAAATGATAAATTGAAAAAGAAAAATATAGAATTTTTTCCTAGGAAGAAAATATAAGTGAGAGAAAGAGAAAAAAAAAAAAATTACGAGAAAGACATCATAATCTTGAGAGAAACAAGAAGCTGCAGACATATGGAACAAATACAAACCATCCATGCTTTAACTTTCAAAGTAAGACAACTATCTTGTCTTTTAATAATAAAATGTAATCCAGAAATTATAAAATACTTTACTGAAATTTATTGAAATAAAATAATTCTACATGTAGAAAATCGCAATGCAATTACTACGCTGGATTATTCTGTTCATGAAAGTGTTTAAAAAACGCGAAGTGTGCGAGCTTTTCCTACCTTCCTCTTCATCATCGCTTTCCTCCATCGCCTTTAGCTTTTTCAATTTCTTTTTTTCGTTGTGATCTAGTTCCTCCTCCCCCTGTTAATAAATTCATATACATTAAACATTTTATATCGTTGCGAATTATTCGTGTACTACATCGTTACATTTATATAAAAATTCCGATGTGATAAAACCGAAATGTGATAAAAAGTTTATTCATATATTTACCTCGCTTACGTCCGCCTCTGAATCTAGATACTGTGCCATGCCAAGTATCTTTCAACAAGACTCGGGCTATACTTTAACTGGCTTCAAATATATTTTCAGTATCAGCTCCTTCCTCCTTCGTGGAAGAATGTGGAAGAGTACCTGAAACTGAAAGATGGAACACAGATAGGGATCGATCTTTTTTTTACTAAAGCCATAGATATGTAAAATACGTAGATGGAGCCATTAGGCTCTATAAAGGCTATGAGTGCGTTCAGGAGACACAACCGTTGGATAGCAATCGAACATGATTGGTTCTTACTTCTAGAACCAACGAATCAACGTCGAGTGTTGACACGACGAAGCACTGCTCAACGGTTGTACAATAGTTGTGTCTCTTGAACGCACCCCGTGGCACGTGAATAAATTTAGTGGACTAAGAGATTCGCTGATTGGTTGATACTATTTAGTACCATTCAAAAACATTGATTTTATAATATACTTTACGAATTGAAGAAAAAATAAATAAATAATTCATCACAACCATTTCCAATTGTTTAAATTGATAAATAAAATTAGAACATTTCCAGGAAACTGCATATCTCTGTATCGCTTTCATTGCTAAATTTCTGATGAGAAATGTTTTTAATTTAGGTAGTGTAATATGTAAAAAGAGATAGAGATCCACTCGAAAATATATCTGTTATGAACCTTTGTGTACGCTAAACAAAAGGAAATATATTGTATATACTTATATATATATATGATTGAAGATGCTTCACCTTTAGATACGTAGAAGAACTCATTTCATTATGTATATATATGTTGAATATATAGTGGAGTTTCTTTTATTATGTCCGTGATTGAATATTTGATCGGATAAGCGATCGTTAATCGGCGTGTCAATATTTTAAAACCACCAATATAAAAACGCATCTAATAAAAACGCATCGTCAGCGATCAGCTGACAAATGTCAAAAATGGATGCGCGGCACAATATTATCATATCATAAATTCATTTTATTTGATACTCATATATGGATATGAAATCATATTTACGCCTCTTTTAGTCTCTAAAGCGCAAATAATACATATTAATTTGTAAATGGAAAAATTTTAATAGATGTAAAAATCCTATATTTGAATAAAAAATAAATTTAAATCTCCAGTAAGAAAAATGTTTTAGCAGTATACTATATAATTTTTTTATACTTTATGCATCTTATTTGAAACCGATGGCTGACATATCAGATGAATGAAGGGTAAAAGATTTATTTTTTTTTTCAAAAACGATTTCCTTTTTTTCCGGAGATTCAGAGCGAGAGAGCGAGATAACAAAGAACGAATAAAAGAGAATGAGAATGAATAATTTTGTGAATATTTCCTATTAAAATATATATATATATATATATTAGGAGGATTGAAAGATACAATTTTCCTCAGGACAAAATCGATGTTCCCTTCGTCTCTGCCTTATTTTATACCTTAAATTCTTGTAACATTGCTTTGAGAATTTTTTTTCGATACGCGATATATACATATATATATATATTATTTGAGTATAGAAAATATAAAACATATATTAGAGTAATAATTGAGAGGAATGTCTTTTTTTCTGAGAAAAACTTTCTGTAAGGTATAAAATGGCGAAACGCGACAAGTCTTCTATACAAACCATCATATATATATATATATATATACGACTAGGAACACCTCGTAAAAGTAACGTAATTTTATTTGTCCCGTTCTTGAAAGGCCTTCTTCCACTTTCTTTTCGCCGTGCGACACTCGACAAAAATGGGCTTAATTATTATGAACTCGACTCGCAATTTTGCAAGCGGAAATTTCTTCATCGCAGCGGAAAAAAAAACGAGATTCCGCGTTGGATTCTCCGCGCTCGATGAGCTTGCTTTAATGAAATTAAATGTGTTCAAAGTGAGCGCAACTTTCAAATTAATTGCCATAAGAGTAAAATCCTTTTATACATGTCTCTAGTTTATATAATTAATACAGCTTAAAAATAATAAATTACAATCTGTTTTTTTGTGATAAATAAAAAAGTCTATTTCATGAAACACAACGTGTAAATTTTACGGACGCGATCAAATATTCGCAATCGTTTTATACTCAATAAATCGTGGGCCAAAAGTAAAAGCTTGGAAAATTATCCATCCATAAAATCTAGAAGACATAATCTATTTTTAAAATGTTCGATGTAAGTTGATATAGGTTAACACGACGAGTTATACTTGTTGTGCTCCTATACTTTTACAGCAAGTATGCATATCACAAATTTCATTGCTGATAAATATACACGTTTGAATCTTAACGCATCGTTACACGGGAAATCCTCGACAGGATATACTTCAAAAATAAAAAATAAACCACGCATCTTGCTATATGTATGTTGTATATATACATGCTATTGCGAGATTGTAGGACCCGCTAAAGCTGTACGTATACATGACGTACGTCGTCAATGGGTACATGTGCCTGTGTATATATATATATATATATATATATACGTCTAATTGTACGCGTGTGTGTACATCCTCATGAATCACCTCAGGATCCATGATTGCCTCTCTCTTGTCGTTTCGTAATTAAAAATCTCTTTACGATAGTGAATGAAATGCGAGACGTAGCCCCGGGCACACATATAGCGAGGCTCGCTTTCGAATTCTGGGAGAGCTCTGAGAGTCGCTGAGTCGCTGAGAGTCGCTGCTAGAAAAGATGGCTCTGGCGGCCGGTAATCGCGTCCCTTTGATCGTCGTCCTCGTCATCGCCGTCGTCGTCTCCGCCGTCGTCGCCTTCGTCGTCGCCGCGTACACCTAGTGCGCGCTCCTCCTACATCCTCGTTATCTCCTTTCCTTGTCCGTAGAGGATCCTCCTCCAGCCGTTCGTCATCTCGACGAGCGTTCGCTCATCCCGAGACTCACCCTCGCTCATTTTCTTCGCGGCCGTCCCATCTCGCGATGCGTCTTCGTGTGACATTCTTGGAGAATGTCAACTCTGAAATGGAATTCGTCGGTGGCGATTGTCGTCCGAAGGATCTCTCGAAGGTGTTGAAGGCATAAAAAAGAAAGAGAGAGAGAGAAAGAGAGAGAATTCCGGGTGTTTCGTATCCGTTTGTCGTCTTCTTTTCACCAAGCATCCCGAAAGGTGTGTTATTGCGACTGCAATTGTTTATTCAGTTGTCTAATATATGGTTGTCTAGTGTCACCTAGTTCTGTAAATTTCAAAGTTTTTTTGAGATCACATACACATCGTCGAGAAATTGTTGTTAATGTGTGTGACATAGATATTATTGGCGTTGAATATCTTTGTTTCAACTGTATGTTTTTGCATTTTAAAACAAAGTAAATATACGTGCATATTTTAGAAAGAGAAACAGAGAGAGAGAGAAAGAGAGAGAGAGAGAGGGAAAGAAAGAAATAAACTGAAACAAATAAATCTATTTTGACAGATCTATTTACTTGATTATTATGTGAATATTTTAGATTATTGTGGCTATTGTAGCTCTTTTGCAAATGTCTATTGATTTCTGGTTACTTGCTCATTAAAGCATTTTGCTTAACAGAAACAGAAACGTAAACGAATTAAACCATGGATCAAACGAAAAATAGACCGAGTAGACCACGATTGCGATCGCACGGTAACTCTGCCAGAGTGCTTGTGTTTGATCAAAATGAAATGGAGGAAACTGCCAGTAATATAGAAACAGAAGTGCACAAACGTCCAATTCCGTCAAAAATGGAAAGCAAGGAAGCTCCAGTTCGACCTGGTTAATAGAAAAAATTTTATATTTTATATTAACTGTAAACATAAGTATATCGTATATATATATATATATACATGCAATACATGTTACATCAAAATTATGTTATTTTAGTTAGCGGAGAGTTATCAAATCTTGTTCGCATGAGAAATTCTGCAATTGGAAAGTCGGCACCTTCTCTATCAGTTCATGTGGTTAGTATATCTTGAATGGTGAATTACATGTGAGAAAATTTATATATTTGATGATAATTTTTTTCCAGCGCGACTTCAACATTCCTCGTCGTGCTGCTAAAGCGGCTCATCGCAAATCTTTAATCTCAACTACATCACCTACTTTACCACGTTGCCATTCACCTTTATCAGGTATGTAATTTCTATTCTACTGATTATTTCCATTAAAAAAAAATTATATCTTTTTGATCAAATCTAAAACATATGTTTTGTAGCAATATTTTAAACACATACACTTACACATACACGATACATTTGATTTTGTTAGTCTTAGAATATATAAAAACTTGTTTAGTATCCTTAATATAAATTTTAGTATCCTTAATGATGAATTAGATAAAGTATGAATTAGAATTTAAAGAAATTCTATGCGCGCATCCTGACACACATGAATTTTGCTTATACTTAGTGGGAGAACATTACCTTTTTATATTTTACTTGATTATTTACTGATAAAATAGCAAGTTAATTTTTTCTACTGCTTATTTCCCGATATAGCATTCGTCCCGATTGTAGGCAGTCCCCTAGAGAGTCCTAGGATGTCATCCAGTCCACACTTTGCTTTTGCTCCAATTAAAAGGTACCTACTTTATACTTCACTATTTGTCTCAGGACATTTAAATTAGTTTGATCTGATTGCTCAAGTAGGTAAGGTGTCGTCATTATAAATGCTATAGCTTTTGTGTGTTATAAATAGAAAAGAAAAATGGTGATACAAAAACTTTACTATGCAAAGCCCGTGAAGAGAAGTAAAAGCTTATTAAAGAAATGCTTGTAAGTTTTTTGCATGATACAAGTATCAGGGTTTTATGATTTTATAATTTTGTTAATTTGTAAAAGATTCATCAAAAGTTATTATTAAACAAATATTACGATATATTTAAGAATTGGCGGAGGTGCTACAGGAACTGGTGATGGCAGAAGATGGTCAGTTGCTAGTTTGCCATCCAGTGGCTATGGAACAACACCTGGTTCCAGTAATGTTTCGGTATGGTCGATTGGTATGCATTGAGCAATTGTCCGCGCTAACTGCTAATCATAATACGTCGTTTGTATTCTATCAGTCACAATATTCGAGCCAAGAACGTTTGCATCAACTACCAAATGTTCCAACTAAGGACGAATTGCGCATGTTGTCTTGCCATTTTTCCAAGCCTGGAACACCGTGCTCTTCACATCCGGGCTTCCCTGGTTCTAGCATATCTAGTATTCCAGGCAGCGCGTCTCTTAGCCTTGAAGAAGAGGGCTGTCGATCGCCGTTACATCGTCCACGTTCCCGAAGTTTGAGGTATATTATTTGGAGATTTTTTTTTTATGTATGTATAAAATATATTTTTTCAATATATTTACAATATCTTTATAACGGTTGTTTGATCATTCTTAATTGATTAAGAATAAATTGTGATTAATAACTGGATACAAATGTATTAATTGTTAAATTTTTGTGCAATTGCAGCAGTCCAAGTCGATCACCTGTTCTCGATAGTGAAATCGTTATGATGAATACCTTGTATAAAGAAAGATTTCCAAAGGTACTATTAATCTTTAACTAAAAATTTTTTTGTCAAATAATAAGTTATATAAATCGCAATAATTACATTTTCAGGCAACGCAACAAATGGAAGAACGTTTGACTAATTTTATTAATGAGAATAAGGAGATAGATGAATACGAAGTAGTGGCTAATATGACGCAAGATTCATTACCAATTTTACGTTTTGTACATCATCAAGTAATCGAAATGGCCAGAGACTGCTTACAAAAATCTCAGGAAAAATTAATTACAACGAGATACTTTTATGAGATGAGCGAAAATCTGGAACATCTTTTAATGGAAGTATGTATATATAGATTGTGACTTTATTAAGACATGTGTTTGTAACTGCTGCATTTCTCTCTTTTATCTTGCAGACAAAAGATAAATCTTTAGAGGCTGCAACGAGATTAACAGGATTAATAAAGAAACTTTTATTAGTTATATCGCGTCCAGCTCGTCTATTAGAGTGTTTGGAATTCGACCCCGAAGAATTCTATCATCTACTTGAGCAAGCAGAGGGTCAAGCTAAAGTCAATGCAGGAATAAAAACTGATATTCCTCAATATATTATTACTAAACTCTCTTTAAACAGAGATCCTATATCAGGTATATACTTTGTGCTATTTCTAAAACATAATACATTTATAAAAATAAGGCTATTATTTAAATGTTGGATCTTTTGTAGAGTTGCAGGAAGATTTGAATAAATTGGAAGATTCTGCGAGTTCTAGCGACAGTAATCTACAAGTAACATCGAATCCAAATAAAGATGACGACAAGTCTCAGCGCATTCCATGCGAAAGTGACTACGAAGTATTGAAACTTATTAGTAATGGCGCCTATGGTGCAGTGTATTTGGTCAAAGAGAAGACCACTCGACAGAGATTTGCCCTAAAAAAAATTAATAAGAATAATTTAATGTTACGAAATCAAGTAGAACAAGTATTTGCCGAAAGAGACATAATGAGCTTTACAGATAATCCATTTGTAGTCTCTATGTACTGTAGTTTCGAAACTAAGGTATGCGCATGCATGTTAGATTTTATTCATAGTGCGTGTATTCTTTACAATAATATACTAAATTGTAAAAAAATGGTTTTTTTTTTTTTTCAGAAACATTTATGCTTAGTAATGGAATATGTAGAGGGAGGAGATTGCGCGAATCTTTTAAAAAATATAGGTCCACTGCCACCAGACATGGCAAGATTTTATTTTGCAGAGACTGTCTTGGCTGTCGAATATTTACACAGTTATGGCATTGTACATCGGGATTTAAAACCTGATAAGTAAGATATTGTATAAAGAGTTGACAAAAAGATATATTGAATAGCAAAAAATACACATAATAACGAATTATTTTTTTTTTCATAGTTTGCTTATCACTGCCCTGGGACACATTAAGCTTACTGACTTTGGTCTCAGTAAAATGGGTCTAATGTCCTGTAAGTGTGACAAATGCTTTGATCATATAACAAGTAAAATCAAATTAAATAATCATGTGTAATTTCAAGTGGCAACAAATCTCTATGAGGGCTACATCGATCGAGACACGCGGCAGTTTTCGGATAAGCAAGTATTCGGTACACCGGAGTACATCGCCCCGGAAGTTATATTGCGCCAGGGTTACGGTAAACCAGTTGACTGGTGGTCTATGGGTATCATATTGTATGAATTTCTGATCGGCTGTGTTCCATTTTTTGGCGAGACACCCGAGGAATTATTTGCTCACACAGTAAACGGTGATTCTTTTTCTTAATTTATATATTAATAAATAATTATGGATGCAATTGATAAACTGAAATGCATCTTGGAGTATTTTTTCCTAAGTATAAATATCACGATAATTCAAGTTACAATTTCTATATAGATGATATTGAATGGCCGGACGAAGATGACTGGCCTGTTCAACCTGAGGGGAAGGATATCATAACGGCACTTCTACATCAGAATCCTAGAGATCGATTGGGGACTGGTGGGTCACATGAAGTCAAAGAACATCCATATTTTTATGGAGTAAATTGGAATAGTTTGCTCAGACAGAAAGCAGAGTTTGTGCCGCAATTAATTAACGATGAGGATACAAGCTACTTCGACAGTGAGTATTCAGAGATATATATATCATTGTAATATTTCTATAATTATAATCCTCTTCTTCTCTCAATTCAATTTATGATTTAATATCTGCACACACTGTCAGAATATATGCTACAGTAATAATAGACTTTTTTATTTGTTATATTATATGTTTTTGTAATATTTCAGCTCGTATGGACAGATATAATCATGACTTGGGTGATGACACAGATGACACCGATGATTCTCCCTTATTTGGATCGTTCTCCTCTTACTCCCCTCAATCGCGAAAGATTTCGCAGACGCGCCCGCCCCAGCTCAATCCCGACGCAGACTTGGACGCTTCTAAAAAACAATTGTTCCGTACTGAGCTTGAAGGCACGTTGGCACATTTGTCCCTTGGATCGAATACATCGTTGGTCACGCCACCGCCATCCAAACTCGCTGATCCTCAATCCGCATCATCGTCCGAAAAGCATCGTACGCCCCTCTTGTCCGTAAAGAGCAAATCTTGCTCCGAAAATCAAAAAGCCGACAAATTAAACATTATGTCGTCATCCTGTACAACTCCCCAGACTACGATCTCGTCGAGCAACGAGTCTCAGCTTACTGTCGTTAAAGGCACTCGGGCGGAAGGAGCGTCGATTAACTTGAGCACGCCCGATTCCTCGCAAACCGAATCTGAAGATATTAGCCCTCAGATCCAGAGAAAGCGACACACGCACTCTCGTGATAAGCTGCCCAGGTTCAGTATATCCATTGATGATGAACACATGTGAGTCATTCAGCCACATTCTCGCAATAATACAATTCTATTCTGCTCTTTTCTTTTAGTTCTCTCTCATACACATTTTTAATTCCCATTTTTAACTTATAACTTTAATTTATACACACTATAATTTTATTTGATATATTTTAAATATTATGTATATATATACATTACATACATACATACATACATACATACATACATACATATATAAATACATATATACATATATACATATATACATATATACATACATACAATATAGTTGTATGTCCGTGTATGTGTATATATTCACGATTCATTTAGTTTAATAGACAATTAGAAATATCGTATCTAGTAATAATAAAAAAACAATTTTTCGCTTGCATAGGTTGGATCTTGCAGCAGCGAATAAAGATGCGATAGAGGAGAGCAAGCATAACTCTAGTACTGATTCTTTCGAGTCCTTCACTACCATACCCATATTACCATCTGTCCGACAGAAATCTCGGTCCGTCATAAAATCCGCTTCGACTAGCGGGCTCTCATTAGTGATCCCGACTAGCGATTTCGCCTGTATGTATATATACATTTTTCAAGATTATATATATATATATATATATATATGGATGTGTGCGAAGCGATATAAAATTCGGTAGTTTTTTATTTGAAACATATGTTCTCTTAGACGACGCGCCGCTGAATGCTCAACCTATCGAATCGCCTGGTGGATCGTCAACCGCGTCTTCGAGGGATACCTCCCCATGCCGCGAGCTGAGCCCTCTCGTGACTAGCCTAAAACCGCCCATTATCATTCGTCGAGGTCCATGCGGCTTTGGCTTTACTGTACACACTATCAGGGTGTATTACGGCGACAGCGATTTCTACACTATGCATCATCTAGTAATGGCAAGTTATAAACAACTCGATATTAAATATTTTTTTTTTATTAATACAAAAATTTATTCTGTTATTTAAACTTTTTTATTATACTTTTATATTTCAATATATATTAATTTGTATTTGTTATTCGAGTATTATTACAAAATTTTATGTTTTTCTAGTATATTTCTAGTATATTTTATTTTTGTTATATATTATAATCACATACATTTTAATTCTTATATTTGTTTACATTTTACTTATTATCTTAAATTCCATTTACCAATTCTATCCTATTTTTGTATATTTTACTTTTCTTTATTATTAAATATACTTTTTCATTTCTTTTCCTGTAATGTTTAATCTTTATTTTATTTCAAACTCTATTTATAGGAAGTCGAACAATCCAGCCCAGCATTCGAAGCTGGCTTGAGACCGGGCGATCTGATAACGCACATAAATGGTGAACCAGTACAGGGTCTGTATCATACTCAAGTCCTGCAATTGATGTTAAGCGGCGGTGATCATGTGACGTTGCGTAGTACGCCGCTGGAGAATACTAGTATCAAAACAGGTGGTAGAAGACGCGATCTCGCTCAGAGTAAACTGGCGCGCCGGACGCTGCATAAACAACGAAAGCAAAAGCGGGATCACTCTGACAAGAAACGGAAGACGTCGCTCTTCAAGAGGATAAGCTCCAAACGGGCGAGCGTAGAGATGCAGCAGGTATACTGAGGGAATTTTCACTTTTTCGCATTTTCGTTTATGGCATAAATGCTAAATGCGATCTTATCGTTTCGCAATATCTATATTTTAACGAAACTTTTATCATCATATATAAGTGGACACAATATATGTTTTATTATATATCTTTAATGTTAATATAACCGGGTTCGCCATTACTTCGACGAGCGCTCAGTCCTGATCGACTTCATCCGCGTTCGGCGGAGAGCAAAACGTCGATATCACCATTGGTGAATACTATGGCAAAGGTAACGCCACGCGTGACTATCGCACAGTCGTCTCACAACAACAGTGATATCTCGGACGAGTCCAGCGTTAATTTCAAGGAGGCCAACGAAGGCGCGAAAGGCGAGAAGAAAGTGCCAAGCGAGCAGAAGGCAGATTATCCCAAATTAACCCATGGCATATCCATTAATTTAGGGAACGTAGGTATGTCAAATTCGTGCGGTAGCACGCAATTACCGCGAATAGCCGAAGAAAAGGATTCGCCGACAGGCACTAAGAGCGATGACTACTCGTCATCGAAAGAGATCGGTCCGGAAAAAAGCGAAAAGCAATTGATTGGTTGTAGCAGCGATCAGTCTGTGGAAAGAGCTCAGAGCAATGAACGTCAAAGTAAAACTGCTGACAGCAGCAAAATATCGCAATACAAAAAAAAAGAAGAGAATGCTATTCAATCAAGTGTTTCACAAGCAAGCACGCAGCAAATAACTAGTGTCACGAATTTACAGAAGAATTTAGATCAGAGACATTATCAAGCAGGTGAAAAATCTATTACTGCGCCGTCATTGTCGCATAAACCATTTGTTGTCGAGCAAAAAAGTACTGGTAAAGGCAATATGGAAATTCACCAAGATGGTAAAAAGATACTCAAAAGATATAAGGCCGATTTTGGCGATAACGCTCATTCGAGCACGCACGAAAGCAGCGCAGCATCGGGAAGAGAGAAGAAGAACAATTAATTCTGCATTTTCTGAATAGATTTAAAAACGAAGTGTCGGCCGTATGCAGCTGGGAGTTTGGAATTACCTGTGTGTTAATCAAATGAGAAATGATTTATCCTTTGCAGGGTTTAAATCGAATAGCTACGAGACGCTGATTATATGAGAGATAAGAGACTAATCAAAAACAAAAAAAAGAAATTAAAAAAAAAACAAGAAGGAAAAGAAAAAAGATCGCAGGTTTTGGATTCATAGCTTTATGGAATTTCTATATTCAAACCTATAGGCTTCCGTCAAATAAATACCTGAAAGCGATTAAAATACTGATATATATTTCCGAGAGGTTTTATTCTATTTCCATAAAATATATCTGTTTGTTATACAAGATATATCACATACAAAAACCTTTTAAACAAATATGCACACATAAGAGATACATTATTTTAATTGACCAAACAAAAACTCAAAATAATATTACTAACTTGAAATCACAAAACCGCGTGTTAAGGTTACTCTTTAACGATTAGATGATTGGAGTGATTTTATGCTTTGGGCTACAGTATTTACACGATCTCATTTATATTTATATCTAAATAATAGCATATATATATATATATAT